AATGAGCATTGCGAGTAAGTACATACTGGTTGGAAGATCATCCTCGTGATGCATTATGACGTAATCTTTCAGAACGGATACATACTCTGATATGAGTTGGATAAGCGGAGGCATGAGCTCCGAATAATACCAGAACGGCGGGATGCAGCTCCAACATCGCCAGCCTGTTATCAGACGGGGAAGGCTGCGCGTGCCGTAAGGAGCCCACGCCCGGTCAGACGGTGAGGAGTCGCCTCTCGTCCACCGGAGACACGTCACCTTATCGTGGAGTCTCTGCCGCTCTATCGCCCCGTGGCGGGGCGTCGTGGGTGCGACCTGGGCTTCCCCACCCCGTGCCGCGCCGGCAAAAGGTCACCGGACCTGCGCCGGGGCCCGGGGTGGCCGGAGTGCAACTGTAATGCACACTTGCACAGCGATGGGCGCTGCAACTGCCTCCTGTCTGAGTCGACAATAGTGCACTGGACATTGAACGATCGAGTGGAGCCGAGATCGGCATGGCCAACTCATAACAGCGTCCGGATCCTTGCTCAGAAACTGAAACTCTTGTCATTATTAGACAGGGACTAAATCAATCATCTAAGGCAGCATGTATAAACTGAGTGAAATTAACTGGGAGAAAAGGGTCGTCAATGCAGATTGTATACAACATTAAGTGCACATAATCGAATGTGCTTACAGCCAAAAGTTCGTATGCAAAAAAAAAAACGGGATTTACCTCGTCCACATACAAGAACATTCATCTCCTGTTATCAGACGGGGGAGGCTACGCGTACCGTAAGGAGCCCACGCCCGGTCAGACGGTGAGGAGCCGCCTCTCGTAGTGACTACCGTTTTCAACGGTAGTCACTAGTCAATGCATTGCGTTTTTCCGGTAGGTTGGACCAAGCCTATAGAGGACAGACGGAAATTGAAAGCAACAAAAGGTTACGACGAGTAAAATAACAACAAGGACGAAACAGCAAAGAGCACCGTACCTCGAAGTCAGGTAGTGTAAAGAAACCCACTCTATCAGACGACGGCATAATACGTCATGCTTGGGATTCATGATTGGCATCATGCGTTCCTCACCCGTGATGAAAAAGTCACAAATGTGAATCTACTCCACGAGTTCTTTGCGCTATCAGTTGAACGATTGAGACGTAAAAGGCAATTCCTGGAACACTAGACAACAGATACTGTACTGATTTCCACTCCTTCGTCATGCAAGCATCAGAAACCTTTTTTCAGATAAAGCCTGTTTCAAAAATATGAACTATGAAGTCCTCTTTGAAATCATTTGCGTTCCGTGGCACCAGAAAATACCAGGCAACGTTAGCACTGTGAGTCAAAAGGCAGACATCAAACATCAGTCCATTCTCCAAGCCCAATGCACCGGCTGGGTGATATGTATTTCGCCGCTTCGCCGGTGAAATGAGGTGAACTGAAGTGAAGCAGGTTAAGTTCCAACGGTAGAGGACCAGCCGGAAGACCGTCTAGGGCTCCGCTATAGCACGGCAGCGGGTTAAGCTCCGAAATAGAGGAGCAGCCGTAGACCGGCTGCTGCGCCGCTCCGCCGGCCGATCAGCTGGGGCGCTGTGACGCCGTCCGGATCTACTGCGTCGTCCGCGGCGGAGCGCCTGACGCAGCCGGCGCTGATGCAATGCCGTGGTACCGTCTGCCAGCTGAGCGGACCAGCGCCATCGCGGCGGCGGCGGCGCCCTCCTCCTCCCCTCCTGGCCGGACAGAGCCGCAGGAGCAGACCCGCCACCCCCGCAGACAGCAGGGACACCCTCCCCCTCCCCTCCTGGCCGGACAGCGCCGCACGAGCAGCCCCACCGCCCCCGCACACGGCGGCACACAGCTGGGGACGAGATCGATGAGAACAGTCCACTGCAATGAGGTGCCGTATAATGACAACCAACACTCAGTCAGACCCGCTTAGCCTTCAACGTAATTCGGTGTTATGAAAGGCGTGCTTGAAAAGGAAGCGTAGTGTTAGCCGCTCGACACCTACGTAACTCCATGGCTACTACAAAAAAGTAACCTAAACCGTGAGTTCCGCAGAAAACGACACTCAGTATGCCCGCAACAAAAACAACTGGCGACAGAGATGACTCCTCCAGTTCAAGAATCACGACAGACGTTGAGACTGGAGTTAGCGTTTCCCAGACTCCGATTTATTCGAGCGGAATACAAACTACCAGGTCCTGGCCGACCGTTGGCGTTGTCTGCACTAGGTATGTAGTGCGTCGTTACAGCTTGCAGCCGCGCCCTGCTGCCAAGCTGAACCGATTCTGACTGCAACTGCGGCCTCGTGCGCCACCCTGCCAGGTAGCGGACCGACCACCAGCGCCCCTGACGGCACCGGTGGCACACAATCGAGCCAGCCGTGGTCCGTGGACTCCGGGACCAGACGGCGCTGCTCTCTGATACGACAGATACGTGGCAACTTGGGTTTTGGTAGTGCGGGAAGGATCTGGATAGCATCTCCATCCCACTCCCACTACCGAACTACCTACTGACCCAGCCGATAACTTCCGACAGTTCAGCGGGACTGCCATGCGCCACCTTACGGTCAGGTGACAGGTCAGAGCCTGAACTCCCTCTAGCGGCTATTAAGCTAATCACACCAGCCACCTGGCGGTCTGAGCCGAAACCATCGAACAACTCCGCCCTCACGTCGAGGTCCGACGGCATGGTGACCCAGCCTTCCGCGGTGGAATCAGTCCTGGTGCCGCCCATTAGTGACCTGAGCTACCTGACCCACCCCATGAGGTCCTCACAGGTCTGCTAGCCCAAATAACCATTCGAAGTCAGGAAGACACTCTTAAAGTTCATGACGAATGGTTTCCTTTCCCTAGATTGGAGCAGACGACCTTGTCTATGTCCTAAATCACCTAACAAATGCTCTTGGATGCTTCACCTGTCACCCTGTTTTCCCTGTCATCAAGAGCAGCGACTAAGGCACAATACAAAATACGATAGGACTGATAAGTGGCCACCTATTATTCTCATTGCTATCATTTTAAAATGAATTAAAATAATTTTCATGCGTGAAATAAGACCTCAAATGTATTTAATGAAGCATAACTTCTGCAAACAATGGCAGCAGGCAGTATTGTAGAAATAGTGGGTACAATGACTGTGTTTGAAGTCTCTGCACCACTGACTCACATGCCTCTATAAGCTTGATGAACAATGGCCAGTTTGTTAGTGGCAGCCTCATTTTTACTGAAAACACCAATCAGAAGTCTGACCTAACAACAGCCACCACTAAGGGAATAATAAAAATTATAGCAGAAAAAAATCAATGAATCACCTGTTACTTTCCACAATGCATCACTAATAGTTATCACCACATCAAAAATAGGAACAGGGAGCAGCACTAAGAGCCACAGTAACAGGCTTATGGATAGAGTTTAAGAACCCTGAACACTATTTTGAATAATCCACCACAAAACTTACACATGAAATAAAAGTGCTTGATTTCATATTGCTATTATTATGTCTTAATTAAATCTGGTTCAAAATACCTTACTATCCTGATGCTTTTCCAGATAATTTTCAATACAAAACTAATACAATGCTTAACAAAACTCAGTCCATTGTACAAAAGCCATGATGCCCCTCAAAGAAGCATAAGCAAGATGTACTAAATAAATTACACCAAATCCCCAACCTTTTGGGCAGTTACCTAGACACTGCAGCTGATAAGCAACTCAAGTGAATAATTCAAAACACAGTTCAAGCCTTGCAAATAAATTAATTTTCACATTTTCACATACCTAAGCCTCATAATAAATGGTCACATGCCTTGTATGCCAGTATCATTGGGATTGTTCATGGATGCTGGTGACAATAATTCTAAGTCAGCCAAGCTGGTACATACAGGCATTATATGTTGAAGCAAGCCAAGAAGTTGAACATTCAACATGGTTGTACAAGCAGGCTCCTAAAAACGTACAAATATGCTTGAGACAATGAAACCAGCAAGGCAAAAGAGTGTACTAACATTATCCTTCCCATGCACATGACCTGAGTGATGCTCAGCTACTGTTCTATAAATCAGCATGCTGTCAGCTGGCTGGGAATTCTTGGTCTCTTATGTCAAAACTAAAAACATTTGTGCCAATCCTTGTCACCCATGAGAGGTTAGGAATGACATTTAGTTACTTCCATGCAAAGCAAAACTGGTAGCTTGCAAATGAAAACAGTCTGGTTTCAGGATATACTGTTCTCAATCATATGGAATGTGAGTAGGCTCTGGAAAAAAGCAAATATTTATGGACAGTGCCATGTCAGCACCTTTAAAATTTGTCCAAGCAGATAACACAAATACTTTAGACTAGATGATTGCTGATGTTGTGAATAAAAAATAGCTAACATTATTTAAATTGAAATCAGCCCAATTTACAAACAAATTACATATCATTTTGTCCAAAATGCACATGTGAGGGGGAGGTACCTAGCTATTAAATTGAAGAAAGTCTCAATGGTACCTACTGATGCTAGAGCCAAGCAGATGCATACCCTAACTCAACCACAAGTACAGTCTAATGCAGAAGTAATGTGCAATTTTAGTTGTGGTTATGCTTTGCTTCTGTATCGTAGGAACAATTTGTCAGACTACAATGAAACTTGGAATGTAGCTTACATGTATTGCCATCCTTGCAGCTGCAAGTTTATCTTTTGCTAAGTACTCCTGGATCATTCCGTATTTAAAAATCATCAGTCAAAGCTGTCTGTTGAGATTCGTAAAACCCCACATTACTTCAGCCGTGGGCTGTACCTTCAGCCCAAAATTGGGACATTTCAGTAACATACAATACAATGACCACTCTCATGCCCTATAAAACAGCACAACTGGCACACATAACAATAATGCTGCAGGGTACTTCATGTCCCAACCATCCCCCGAGCCTCCCATCGCGAACTGCCACACTTGTTGATGGAACATAGGGAGTTGTCATATACCATACCTAACTGTTGATAAGTGCATTACAAATATAAAAGGAACATACCTCCAGGTCATCCATCTGCATTCCATCGTATCCTTGAGCCATCTTGATCTTCTCTCCAAAGCAAACTTAAGCTTGAACTTCAGAAAAATAAACCTTGCTTTCTTTGCTTCAAAGGACTTTGAATTCTCATATTATTCCTCCAACATCATAACTATTTTATTTACTCTAAAGCAAGCAAAAAGAATGAGTACAAGACTTCACAGTAACGTCAGACTTCAATCTTCTTCAACCAGCTATAAATGGAAAACGTGAAACGTGTGTGGTGATCCTAGCCAACATGGCGATGTTTACAAACATTGTGAAATCATGGGTGACCTTGAAAAATGATTTCAGAATGATTTGCAAATTTGGAGGGTTGTTGAAAATTTGTTCATACTTTTCGTCGTATTGACCAATTTTGATGTATTCCTCATTATCAAAGAACATTTTGTGAAAATATGAATGAAATAAATAATGTACCTAAGCAAACAAAAAACAATTGTGTTTCTAGAATTAAAGCAATTAAAGCAACCGAGAAAGTGAAAATTCGATCAAGCATTTTCATATGTAAATTACATTTTTGGCCCTTTATTTTCAATATTATTGTCAAAAATTATATATGTTACATAATGCGTTATAAGACTTGATTTGTTTTGGACCAATGAAAGTCGAGGACGTGTTGATTACGTCGTCATGTTTGTCACAGCCGCGCTATGATTGTATTCAAACAAACAGTCTATGCACAACACGCACATGGACACTGATAAATAGGTCGAAATTGCGAGTTATTTTGACTGAGGACCAGCGAATATAAGGTTTTCCTTATTTGTATGAATAAATTCACGCTAGCATAGCATCTCACATCGTCACTGCCGAGCTTGCTGCAGAGCTTGCACTTCTTCATTTTGGCAGAAAGCGTAAGTTGAAGTTAAAGTTGATTTGTTTTGCCTTCCTGACAATTGTATATTGATATGGAATTGTTGCAAAAAAAAAACTGTGAAATTTTGAGAGGCCAGTGTCCTTCAGGGTCTGGTACTAGGCTAGCAACCTCCTTGATACTCCTCTTGCCTCATCATTGAGGCTGGTCTTGAGTCCTTGGGCCTGTTCCAGCGCCTCCAGTAGAAATTCTTGACTGGAGGCTCTACCAGAGGTTTCACTGGAGGCGCTGGAACGCAATCTGGAGATTTCTGGAGATTGGCGTCATAGATACCAAAAGAATGACGATTGTTCTCTCTTGAAACGCAAAATTTGTTTTCAATTTTAGTAAAAAAGATTAACAAAATTATAGCAGTGCAATTTTCTTTTCATTCAAGTTGTAAATTCTCAGTCAAAAGTTCTTTGTTTACATTCGTGATTGTCACATGTGCGCCATAATTGTAGACCAGAGCCTCCAGAGAAATTTGGACCTCCCAACTCTGGAGGCTACTGGAGGTTTCTGGAGCTTTGGCGAGAGCTTTCTGGAGCTTTCTGGAGGCGCTGGAATGCTCTCTGGAGGATTCTAGAGCTTTCTGGAGGTTTCTGGAGGTTTCTGGAGGCGCTGGAACAGGCCTTGACTGTCACAGACAGTGTCCAGGTTGGTTTTGGTCACTAGAATACCTGCCGTGTGTTCAGGTTTGGTAGCTTTATCGCATGAATAGGGCATATTTTCTGATGAGATATCTTGAATAGATATATTGTTTTGGGGTATTCTTGTAAGTTCAGGAATACTTTTATGAAAAATATAGGTTCTTTGTCCTACACTATTTTATAAATCCTTCTTAAACTCCCGCAAGTGTTCACACCATGATGGCTGCTGGCCTGTGTGTTACCTATTTCTCCTGACACCACCTGGTATTTATTGCCATAGTCTTGACAATGCATTGATGCATGCTGACATTGTAAAACATGCCAATTTAAATGAGGTCTCTGTGCTTCAGTGGTGCTGACTGCTGGGATGCTCAGCCATTGTGCTGTATGGATTTGGGGAATGCTACTTACTCTGATCTGAGGCAGGTACCTATCCTAAAAGGCCTATTTCATGAGTCAAATTATTCTGTAGTTTTAAATCCATCTTGGTTGACTTGCTTGGATGTTCATTTATGATAATTCATTTATGTTACTCTGGACATAACAAGTAATACAAGATTAGTATTATTTATAATGAGGTTCACTCATCACTGAATGAAATTGTAAATTTTTTTGATGAAATGTATTGATTTAGTTATATGTATGTTTATTAGAAATGTATGTATTTAGTCAAACAATGAAATTGTTTGACTAAATACCAAATCACTGACTTATGGTTCATTTTTCAGCAAAACCAGGCACAAATCATTTGTTTAAGTGAAGCAGTTAAGCTACTGCCATGAAGTCTGAGGGCAGACATGGTTTCATCCTTTTCTTGGTATCATGTTTGTCATCTGCTCAAGGTAAGTAGTTACCTGTGGCTTTAGTGAAGTGTCTGGTGTGAAAGCGGTGTGCAGTTACCTCTGGCATTAGTGAAGTGTCTTTGATGTAAAAGCACCAAAACTGAATATTTCTCTGTTTCTGAATAAGTTTTTTATCACAATATTTGTATTGAATTTATTTGCCTAAACCTACTTTGAAACACCACATACCTAATACCAGTATAACGCCTTTTGGGGCGACTAACGGAGCGAGCGAGAGGGTGAGCCTTGCACGTGCGAAATTTCGACGGAGCACCTCCAGCTGACTTGTGCACGGCACCCTACTAACCGGTCTCTAGCAATGTGCCAAATTTGAGCACAATCGGCCCGGCCGTTCTCGAGATCTGGAAGCGGCGCCCTGCACGTGCGCACGTGCAAAATGGGTCCCAACTGACTTTTGCATGGCACCCTACTAACCGGTCCATAACCATGTGCCAAATTTGAGCGCCATCGGTCCAGCCGTTCTCGAGATCTGGAATCGACGGCTGCACGTGCGCACGTGCAGCAGCACCCCAACTCTGGCACATGGATATGCATTGCCTAGTGGGTGCCTACCTACATGCCAACTTTCAGCGCAATCGGCCATGTAGTTACCGAGATATTGCAACAATTACAAAAGTGACCTCTTCGTTTTGCACGTGGCACGTGCATAAGGGGTCACCCACATGCATCGGGAAAAGTCCAATACTTGGTAGAAGGAATGAAGCTACCCTACAAAAATTACCGCATGTAAATCGGTCAAGTGGTTGCAGAGATATAAGCGTCGCAGAATCGTGACCACGGCCGGCCGCTCATACTCAGAAATTTCCGTTAATCTAAGGAAAGACTACGCTCGCTTCGCTCGCTCCGTAATCATCTTTTATCCCTTCTGGTGTGGTGACTGTTTATTATCCTGTTTTAATTAGACTCTTTTGACTCACGTTATCTGTTACTGATCTCGCATTTGTATCTCACGGAACATCAGGCAGCATCACAGTGGACGACGTGACGTGCGGCTCGGTGGTGAAACTGATGAACATCGCGTACAAGTCGCGGCTGCACTCGCACGACGTCAAGTACGGCTCCGGCAGCGGCCAGCAGAGTGTCACTGGCGTGGAGGACCAGGACGACGTCAACAGCCACTGGGCCATCATGGGCCCCACCGGCAAACACTGCGAGCGCGGGTGAGTGGTCCAGACTCCGGCGGAGGTAGGAGGGGGATGGCGCCTATAGCGTCTGTCGTCCGAAAGACGGCGAGTTTTTTCCGCTGTCCGTCATCAATGAATAGGGACCAGGAGCTTTTGCAGCTCACGTGCCTGAGCGGCCTGGTGGCGGTGTGTTTTGCTGCTGATTTTGGATCTGTGTGTTTGTGTGTGTTTTTTTCGCCATTTT